CCTGTACAGGGCTCCCAAGGCCGTAAATCTTTATGGGAGTAGAAAACCTCAATTTTTTGCAGTGGAGTGGTGGATTCGAACTGCTGACCTTGGGATTAGCAGCAGCCCAATTCGTAATCCACACCACCAGGGCTCCTTATGCAACTGTACGAATTTGATAAAATTTATTAAAGTATGAATACTTGACGCAAATTTTTTTTACTATACGCAAATTATATCTAACAGCTGATTAAAAGGGCGGGCATATGTAAAGACACAGACAAAACCGTATGTGTACACATTCAGATGGCAATGCAGAGGTGATCTTAGCTTTCTTTGAAATTTTCAGAATTTTTATAATAAATCAATTATGGCATAATAAAAAAGGTAATTTTTAAAATGGAAGCATTTTTCATAGAAACAATTATGTGATACGATACCATTATCTAAAACGTAGCTAGTACTAGACTAGTTAATGAAAGTTATTCTGTAAAACAATCAGAAGAGAGTCAGATTGTAACGGAAATATTGAAACAGAATGTTCTTTTAGTGATTTTCCTTCCTTGAAAAACAGAACTTCATTACTTTATAAGAAACGAAATAAACTTTGTTTGCAGACCTTAATTTCAACAATCAATCACAAAACAGTGAAGCAAATAAAACCTTTAAAAAAGAATTTTATATGTAACATAAAGGAATACTAGTAATTTGCTACATATTTGGAAAATATTAAAGAATCCAGAAAAGATTAAAAGCCCAGTGACTGTAATGTTGTCATTGGTTAGTGCTGTGGAGTAGGTTCCAACTCACAGCAACCCTGTATAGGGTTTTCAAGGACAGGTTGGTGGGTTTGAGCCGCTGTCCTTGTGATTAGCGGTCCAGTGCTGATCCTACAGCACCACACAAGGACTTGCATTCCTGTAATAGGCTAACTAAAATACCTTTCTAGGTAGCTTAAACCTGAAAACAAAATAAAAATTCAACAAGACCTGATCAATTAAAACAGTTCAAGATACACTTTCTCAGGACCCCTGTTGTTCCTTTTTAAAAGTGAACATGTTGTTGTTAAGGGCCGTTGAGTCGGTTCTGAGGGTTCTGAGTCATCGTGGATTGGGGTTCCAAGAAGTGGCTGGTGGGTTTGAACCATCGGTCGTTACAGTTCAAATTGACTTTGTGGTTTACTGCATTACCCTGCAGCGCCACACCAGGACTCCACATGGTGAACACACTGAGATATTTTGGATTTACATTCTCTTCATTAGTGAGTCTCTTAAAATGAATGGCATAATCTATATCTTTATCAGGAATTGGAAGAGGTGCTTATTTAAATAACTATAAAAACAGCCAGGTAATTATAGTGACAGGAAGATGCCAACCTAATCAAGTTTTGAACTTCTCCAGGTGTATATAAATTCTAGATTTGTAATTCATGGAAATTCTCCGAAACTCTACCTTTTGTCAAAGGAAAAAACCAACTTACCTGGTAGAGCTCTTCCAAGTTGTATTTAATGGAAGTGCTAGTTTGTATGGCTTTCACGGCCTCGTGAAGTTTCTGCCATGTATCCTGAGTGTAATTATCAGGCAACTTCGGTCTGTCTGTGAATTCAGATAGAGAACCCGTGAGGAATGGCAGCCACCCAACACTCACCCGTCTTTAAAAACATCCTTCAAGTACTTAAAGGAGCTCTGGAAGCAAAGTGGGTCAGCAGTTCCAAACTACCAGCCAGCTGTTCCGCGGGAGAAAGATGAGGCGGTCTGCTCCCGTAAAGATTTAAAACCCTGTACAGGGTGGCTGAGTCAGAACTGACTCCACAGCACTTAACCACCACCCCAAGTACTTAAAGCACACATAGAAAAGACACAGAAATCAGGTTTTCTGTGTACTGCATACATTTCATGGGTTACAGACAACTTAACCATAATATTCCTGTTTCAAGATTTTCTACTGATATTTGTTGTTTTAAAGTGCCATTGAGTCGGTTCCTACCCATAGCAACCCTGTAGAGGGTTTCCAAGGAGTGATGGTGAGTTTGAACTAAACCTTGCAGTTCAAACCGACTTTACAATCTAGCGCATTAACCCACAGCGCCACACCAGGACTGATATTTAGATGGGATAAATATACACATAAACTTTTTATAAGTCTTAGTTGCCTGCAGTTGATACTAACCCAAACCCTACTAAAAATGTTTATAAAACACATAGGAATTAAGCTTGAATCAACTTTAAACTGAAATATGTTGTTGTTAAGCACCGTGGAGTCGATTCCGACTCATAGTGACCCTGTACGGGGTTTCCGAGGCTGTAAATCTTTACGGGAGCACAAAGCCTCATCTTTCTACCGCGGAACAGCTGGTAGTTTCAAACTGCTGACCGTGTGGTTAGCAGCCCGATTCGTAATCACTAAGCTACCAGAGCATCAAAATGGCTTACTTTGAGATACTAGTATAACGCTCGTACGAGGTGGAGGAAGTAACAAAAATTAGTGTAAAGAGCTTCTGTGTTGCTACTTAGCCTGGTTCAGGGGTGCCGATCAAGGTATCCTATTGACTGGTTCTAATTTATTATTTTTCTGTCAACTGCATGGAGTAACGAAACAGAACGTGACACACAGTAACTCACAGCATCAATCTCCAATGATTTATATATCACACTTAATGGTTAACCCTTATTTTTGTGTGGCTTTAGGCGCTGAGTCGTGGCTATCAGGAGGACAAAATGCCGACTCATTGGGCCTCTTTGTACCCTACGGATTAAATCCATTAATTTATAGGCTTCCATAAATTAATGGATTTATTCCGTAGGGTAGAAAGAGGCCCAATGAGTCGGGATTTTGTCCTCCAGATATCCCCAACTTAGAGGCTTCCATAAGGAGCTCTGGTAATGTAGTGGTTACGAATCCGGCTGTGAACCTCAAGGCCAGCAGTTCGAAACTACCAGCTGCTCCGCAGGAGACAGATGAGGCTTTCTGCTCCCGTGAAGATTTACAGCCTCGGAAACCCTGTTCAGGGTCGCTATGGGTCAGAACCGACTTGACGGCACTTAAAAACAACAACACAGGCTTCCATGGACTCCTATACAGGATCACTATGAGTCGGAAGGGACTCGATCGCACCTAACCACAACACAGTCTTCCGTAAGTCTTCCTCTAAAGCAAGAAAGGTGCACATGGTCCGAAAGTGCTGGACCAAAGTGATGTTCAACTTCGGAAGTGATTTCATGCACAAGCCCAGGCGAGAAAGTTAGCGAGCCACCTTCGGAAAGTGGCCTGAGAGACGGAGGGCTGCGCGGGATCGAGCCCAAAGTACTTTGGCAGCTCTCGGCTCCCCGCCTAGCCGTGTCCGGCGCCGGCGAGGTCGGCGTAGGTCAGCGCGGCGCGTGCACGGGGCGGGCGGCCCGCGCCCCTTCCCCATTGGCCGTCTCCGCTCCGACGTCCCGGCCGCGCGGCCCAACGCAGCCGCCTGGCCGGCGGGGGGCGCAGGAAGTGGCTCTCATCGCCCCTTCCTCTCGGGAGGAGCACGGCCGGCCCAGCGGGATGTGTGGGCTCATTCGCCTTGACCCCGCGGGTCCGTGTCCCGTCTTGTCCCGTCCTGTTTCGGCCCCGCCTCCCCTCCCCCACGGCCGTGTGCGATCGCCTGCCCGCCCGCACCTACCTCGGAAATTCTTGATCACTAATTTCTTGGAGCCGCTGCCGCCTCCGGGCTTCGTGGTGACGGCGGCGGCTGCTGCGAGGGAAGCAGGCTTCGTGAGGCCATTGGTGTGTCCCACGAGAGCCGAAAAGTTCCCCTTCTTGGGGGTTTCGTCTGCCATGTCTACTGCCGAGAAAACAAACCGGTGGCGGCCGCTCCGCCCCACCCCCACCCGGCCGGGCCCTCCTCCAGTGGCGGCCCGGGCCGCACCGCCTCCTCCCGGCCCGCCTCCTCCTCCGCCCCCTCGGGAGGCCGAGCTAGGCCTCGGGGTGAGCTGGGAGAGCGCTCCGGGAAGCCTGCGCCCGGCGGGGTGACCACTGCGGCCGGCCTGCTCTCCGCCCCCACCGGCTGCCTCAACTTTGCTGGGCCCGCCCTCTCTCCTCGGCCTGGCGTCTCGGGACTCCGCCTCGGGAAGGGGGACGGCGACTAAAAGGCTCCGGCCTCGCGCGCGGCCGCTGTGCTCCGAGCCCCGGCCCGGCCTTCCACGAGCTGACTCTCAACCGCCACCTCGTTCGCCCTTGCTATTGTTCTCTGGTCCCTGCTCTGCCGTCGCCCACCCCCATGGCTCAGGTGCCCTCCACTCGGGGCCGACTTTTAATGTCTGTCTCTATCTCGATCGGTGTTACTAGGTGTGGCACTGTGCTTGCGGAAGCAGGGGCCCTGGAGCCGCCACACTTCCGAGACCCTCGCAAAGCTCCGCGTGCTGGGCTGCTGGGGTCAAGCTCCTAGCGGGAGGGACACTGGCCACTCCCACCGCGCGTGCGCGGGCCCCAGGCGCCCAAGTACCAGGTGCGGGGAGTGGACGTGGGAATCGGAGCGTTTATACATGCGACCGTGTCATCAACTGTTGCATGTATTTTTTTTTTTTTTAAATACAAGAACGGGATAGTAGAGCGACATCTATTATTCCATGAGATGGTTCTCCACGAAATCCCCAACCTCAGCTCCCATGAGACTGCCCATGATGACCCCTCTCCAATCTGTGAACCAGTGCATTCCGGATGCAACCAAATAAAAAACTGAGAACCTGAGGAAGCTTCCTAGCTGAGAAGTGATAAGGGAAATGACAGCAGAAAGACATCTCAGCCTTCCTCAGCCCATTTTATTCCGCGCGCTCCCGCGACCGGGGCCCCGCAACCCTAACGCGTTGACAAGCGAGCCGCGGAGTTGGGGTTCCAGCGGGAATTCCGCCTCCCTAGCGAATAGCAAAATGAGGGCGTGGCCAGACCCGGGGGAGCGTTGCGCGCGGAGCTGAGCCACCGGGCCGGAAGTGACGTCGTGCGCAGACGGAAGTGGGAGCCCCGTTGGTGTCGCTGGAGACCTAGCGGTGGAGCTGGCCGTGTACCGCCATGGCGCACATCACCATTAACCAGTATTTGCAGCAGGTAAATTCTCTGGGGAAGGACCTGTGGCAGTACTTGGGTGGTTGGCCTTTCGGCCTGGGCCACAGTTGAGTTTCATGTTTTACTCGGTTACTGTTTCTGCTCCTTTCACCGACCGAGGTCAATGGCTGGGCAGTAGTAACTTGCGTCTTCCGAAAGGCTTTGAAAGCAGGAGGCGAGCGTCGACGGGCTTAGCAGTCAGGCCACACGGCAGCCGGACACGTCGCCACTGTCTGCCACCGTGTCAGCGTCTGCAGGCTCGGACTCAGCGCTGGCTTAAGTGGACGACGTTGTGATTGGGGGAATGCTGCACGGAACCGCACGGTCAGGGCGGCGCGGGGGCCGGAGAGGCGCTGGAGCCGTCTCCCAGGGTCTTGTTTCCGATAGGAACTGGTGGATTTGAGGTGGATAGAGATGGAGCTAGCAACTGTGAGGCTAGCAGAGCCCGGGGCCGTGCTGTAAGACAAGCACCGGACTGCTACCCGCAAGTTCTGTGCCTCCAATCTCCCAGCCGCTCCCCGGACACCCAGCACAGAAGCGACTCGGCGGCCTACAGCAACAGTGCTAACTAATATTGCCGGAGGAGAAAGGCTCACCTTTCTCCCGCCGAGCGGCTGCTGGGCTTGAACCACCAGCCTTGTGGTTCTGCAATCTATCTATTACTTATCCTACAGAGCCGCCGCCCACCAGGGCCCTGGCGGCGCAGCTTAAGCTCTCGGCTGTCAAACGAAGGGCTGGCAGTTCAAGTCCAACCAGCTAGTGTGAAAGAACTGGTGATCCTCGTCTGTAAGGATTGTTGTTGTTAAGTGCCGTCGAGTCTATTCTGACCCATGGCGAACCAGTTTAGGGTTCCCGAGGAGCAGCTGATGAGCTTGAACTGCCGACCTAGCTGTTCAAACCGACTTTGCTGTCCTGCGCATTAACCCACAGCAGCACACCAGGGCTCCCTGTAAGGATTGTTGTTAAGTGCCGTGGAGTTGGTTCCGACTCATAGTGACCCTATACAGGGGATCCGAGGCTGTAAATCTTTACGGGGGCAGAAAACCTCATCTTTCTCCCACCGAACAGCTGGTAGTTTTCAACCGCTGACCTTGAGATTAGCAGTCCGACTCGTAACCACTAGTTTAGAAAACCTTTGGGGCAGGCATGAGGTCGCTGTAAATTGTGGAGGTTTTAGGCACCTAAAACCAGCAACAACGTTTGTTTTCCGGGCTCAGCCCCATTAATGGCAGAAATATAGTTAAAATATAGATTTTTCTGGATTCAGAGTTCGCACTCTTTTCATGAAACAATGTTCATTATTTGACCTAGAATGGTGGTAGTAAGGCTAGGGAAGAGGGGGCTGGCATATAAGAACTATTTCAAGGAACTGTTAGTAAGGTTGTGTGTATTGAGAGAGAAGTCATACATGGATTCCCTGGTTTCTAATTGGAGCACCAGGTGAGTAGAACAGATTAGGGAAGGAAAATAGATTACGTTTTGGAAATGTTGCCTGTGAGGTGTTTGTTACCAGCCAGGTAAAGCTAGCTGACACTGGCAGTTGAATATAGTTTGACGTGATTGGGACCAGTAGTTCCGTTATTAGTTGAAAAAGTAGGTTAAAATGGTAATCGGGAGGAAAGCGGTAACACATTTCCTTTAATGCATAGTGATGCTATTGGACCTAATGGAGCTGCCCCTAGGGTTTCCAAGGCTGTGTATCTTTTTTGTTTTTCCAAACTTTTTCTTGGGATTTGAAAGAAAGTTTCCATTGGTTTTACCTTAAACAAATCCAAGACTTTGTTTCATTTCAATGCTCTCCTTCCAACAGCAGCTCTCCCACCTCCTCCTCCCTGCGGTTCCTGTCTCCATTCCAGCCACCTTCCATCCCTTGGTCACTTTGTTGTCGTTAGTGCTGTTGAGTCGGTTCTGACCCATAATGACCCTGTACAGGGTTTCCCAGGAGCAGCTGATGAGCTTGAACCACTGACCTTGTAGTTCAAATGGCTTTGCAGTCTGGCACATTAACCCACAGCGCAGGTAACTCTGGCCTCAGGTAAATGCTGTTTTGATGTTGAAGGGCTGGCCATTCTGTGGGGGACCATATGTCCCTAGTGCTGTTGTTCCCCCTGTGTACCCGTCTACTGTTTGCCTGAACATTGGGCCATGGGGGTGAGCTCCCTTCCAGACCTGAAGGCCAGTCCAGGACCAGAGTCTCAGGTTCCTCCAGTCTCTCTCTGATCAGTCAGCCGGGTCGTCTTCTTTCAAATATAATTTGAGTTTTTTTTTACGTTTGCTGCCACTCTGCCCAGGTTCTTTTTTTATGTTCACAGAAGGTGGTTGTTTCTTTAGAGCTTTATTCGTTGTGGCTCAAGAACACAAACTACTTCTCCTTCACACCGTTCTGTGTCCCAGGGGTGGGACCCATCTTGGCAGGAGTGCTTCTTGGGACCCAATCACAGGTTTACAAGCTTCTTATTGACGTCAGTCTGTGACTGTAAGACTGGCCAAGCAGATGACCCTCGGCAGCTCATTGACAGTTATCAGGAACGATTTGGAGTACTTGGTTAACCAGACTCATTAAGAAGCGGCCCACAGTATTGTCAGCTGACACCTTTCTGGACAGTTTACCCTCTGCGTACCGCTGCATCATGCTGAGGACGTCCTGGATGCGGGCTGACACCCCCCCCAAATAGCAGCTGGTAACTTGAGCGCCCGAGCACGCTGTTGGGGCTGAGACAGGTCTTTGCAGGCAGGTCACCTCAGATGCATTCGGTGTCATGATGAGCACATCTCACTGCCAGAGGCATCGGTAGCACCCCCCCACCCCCCACCCCCGTAGTCCTCCCAGGCCTCCCATTAAAGTGCGAGGCTGTGTCCTTGGTGGGTGGGGGAAATGGGCTTGGGGGCCTCTTGCCTCTAGTACTCGCAGCGACTGCCTGTAGCGAACCAACCCAGGATGAGCTTGTTTGCAGACACTTTGTTATGCAGCTCACGCATGTTCCTAGCAGATTCCATGTCAACAGTTAGCTCATCTTCCGATTCTTTGTGAGGCCCTGAAAGATGCTGGTATCTTCCACCACGTTCCCAACAGGGTCCTGAGCATTCCAGCAGCACTCTCAGTGTGCCACTCACAGCTGTCCACCAGGGAGAGTCAAGTGACTGGGTGCAGTCAGACCACGACGTCACCACAGAAGGGACCTGGGAGAGCTGGGCCTGCTGGTGGCAGCACGTGGTCTGCTGAGGCACCCCAAGGCCACGTTTGGACCTGCTGCTGAAGTTGGTTCTGAGGATAAGACAGGAGCTGGAGTCGCAGCCATTGTCTTTGTGTACAGTATGTTATGACAGTTGACTGTGGTGTCCCCGGAGCCCCCAGATCTAGCAATTTGTTGTTGTTGTTGTTAGGTGCCATCAAGTTGTTTCCGACCCATAGCGACCCTGTGAACAACGAAATACCTTCTGGTCCTGTGCCGTCCTCACGATGGCTGCTCTTGGCGCCCATTGCTGTTCCCACTGTGCCAGTCCAGCTCGCTGGGGTCCACTTTTTCTCTGACCCGCTTTCTCCAGGCACTGGTCCCTCCTGACAATATGTCCAAAGTATGAGAGACAAAGTCCAGTCGTCTTCTAAGGAATTTTCTGGCTGTACTTCTTCCAACATAGATTTGTGTGTTCTTCTGACAGTCCATGGTACTTTCAAAATTCTTTTCCAGCACCATAACTCAAATGCATCAGTTCTTTTATGGTCTTTCTTACTCATTTTCCAACTGTCACATGCATATGAAGCTTGAAAATACCATGGCTCGGGTTAGGTGCATGTTAATGTTCAAACTGCTTTGACATCTTTGCTGTTCACCGTTTTAAAGAGGTCTTGTTCAGCAGATTTCCCTAATGCAATACGTTGTTTGATTTCTTGACTGCTGCTTCCCTGAGTGTTGATAGTAGGTCCAAGCAAAATGAAGCCTTTAACAACTTCAATCTTTTCTGCATTTATCATGATGTTGTTTATTGGTCCTGTGGTGAGGATTCTTTCCATTTAGGTACAATCCGAATCGAAGGCTGTGATATCTGAGCTTCATCAGTAAGTATTTTAAGTCCTCTTTTCGTTTTTAGCAAACAAGGTTATATCATATCACAGACTGTTAATGAGCCTTCCTCCAATCCTGATGCCATGTTTTTCATATAATCCAACTTCTCGGATTATTTGCTCAGCGTACAGGTGGAATAAGTAAGGTGAAAGAAAACAACCTTTGCACACACCTTTCCTGATTTTAAACCACTCAGTGTCCCCTTGTTCTGTTCCAATGACTGCCTCTTGGACTATATACAGGTTTCTGATGAGCCCAGTGAAGTGATCCGGAACATTTATTCTCTGCAATGTTGTCAGTAGTTTCTCATTATCCACAACAGTGCAAAGTCACTAAGGCACAGGTAAACATCTTTCTGGTATTCTAAGCTTTCAGCTAAGATCCATCTGACATCAGCAGTGTCCATGTCCTCATCTGAATCTGGCTTGGTCCTCTGCCAATGCACTGTAACAGCCATTTTTAAATTGCTTTTAGCAGTATTTTACTTGTATGTGATATTAAGGATCTTGTCTGATGATTTCTGCATTCTGTAGGGTCACCTTTCTTTGGAATGGTCAGTTGGCCAGGTAGTTGTTTTCCAAATGTCTTGGCATAGGTGAGTGAGTGCCTCCAGTGCTGCATCCGTTTGTTGAAAGACTGCCGTTTGTCCTCTGTCAGGACCTGGTGCCTCACTCTTTGCCAATTCTTTCAGTGCACCTTGGACTTCTGCCTTCAGGACCATTGGTTCTTGATTATATGCAACCTCTTGAAATGGTTCAACGGTAGCCATTTCTTTTTGGTGCAGTGATTCTATGTATTCTTTCCATCTTCTTTGAATGCTTTTTTGCATCATTTAGTATTTTGCCCGAATAATCCTTCAATATGAGGATGATTTTTTCTGCTCCCATAAAGATTTACTGCCTTGGAAACCCTGTACAGGGTCGCTATGAGTTGGAACCG